GTTTCGGGGTCCCGTTTCGGGGTCCCGTTTGGGGGTTCCCATTTGGGGGTTCCCGTTTGGGGTTCCCATTTGGGGGTTCCCATTTCGGGGTTCCCATTTGGGGGTTCCCGTTTGGGGGTGCCGTTTGGGGGTCCCGTTTTGGGGGTTCCCGTTTGGGGTCCCGTTTGGGGGTTCCCCAGTTTCGGGGTCCCGTTTCGCTGTTCCCGTTTGGGGTCCCGTTTGGGGGTTCCCCAGTTTCGGGGTCCCGTTTCGCTGTTCCCGTTTGGGGGTTCCCGTTTCGGGGTGCCGTTTGGGGGTTCCCCAGTTTCGGGGTCCCGTTTGGGGGTTCCCGTTTGGGGGTTCCCGTTTGGGGGCTCCCCAGTTTGGGGTCCCGTTTGGGGGTTCCCGTTTGGGGGTTCCCGTTTGGGGGTCCCGTTTGGGGGTTCCCGTTTGGGGTCCCGTTTGGGGTCCCGTTTGGGGGTTCCCCAGTTTGGGGCCCCGTTTGGGGGCTCCCCAGTTTGGGGTGCCGTTTGGGGCGCGGCTCACCTGGGGAAGGTGCGGCCGATGCCCTGGCCCTGGCTCCAGCCCATGCCCCGCAGCATGGCCAGCCCGAACTGCCCCACGGGCACGGCCTCGTAGTCCTGGGGGGTCTGCGGCACACGGGGGGCTCGGGGGGGCCCAAAGGGCCCCTGGGCCGCGCCATCGCCCGCCGCCATCTTCCGCCGCGGGGCCCTGTGGGAGAGAGAGCGCTGCTTCGGCCGGACTACAACTCCCAGCAGCCTTTGCGGCCCCGCGGGCCTTGCGGCCGCTGATTGGTGCAGCCCCCACCTATCGGTGCTGCCGCCGCGACATGCCCCGCCCCCTCCCCGCGCGCTGCGGTCGCTGATTGGCCGAGCCGCCCGTCGCTCAGCCCGTCCCGCCGCCGCTCGCGCCCGCCGGCCTCGCGCGCGTTGCCGTGGCGACCCCGCGGCGGTACCGGGGGAGGGGCGGGGCACTGGGGGGACTGGGAGCACTGGGATGATGCTGGGAGCACTGGGGGGCACTCGGGGGTTACTGGGAGCACTGGGATGATGCTGGGAGCACTGGGACGTTACTGGGAGGGCACTGGGAACACTGGGGGGTCACTGGGGTGTTACTGGGAGCACTGGGTGGCTATACTGGTTATACTGGGAGCGCTGGGATGTTACTGGGAGGTCACTGGGGGGGTTACTGGGAGCACTGGAATTTTACTGGTGCGTTACTGGGAGCACTGGGGGGTTACTGGGAGCACTGGGATGATGCTGGGAGGTTACCGGGGTGTTACCGGGAGGGCACTGGGAGAGCACTGGGAACACTGGGGAGTCACTGGGATGTTACTGGGACCACTGGGAGGGCACTGGGATGTTACTGGGAGGGCACTGGGGGGGGGACTGGGAGAGGAACTGGGAGGGACTGGGGGACACTGGGAGGGCACTGGGAGGGACTGGGGGGGACTGGGAGAGGAACTGGGAGGGACTGGGGGACACTGGGAGGGCACTGGGAGGGACTGGGGGGGACTGGGAGAGGAACTGGGAGGGACTGGGGGACACTGGGAGGGCACTGGGAGGGACTGGGGGGGACTGGGAGAGGAACTGGGAGGGACTGGGGGACACTGGGAGGGCACTGGGAGGGACTGGGGGGGACTGGGAGAGGAACTGGGAGGGACTGGGGGACACTGGGAGGGCACTGGGAGGGACTGGGGGGGACTGGGAGAGGAACTGGGAGGGACTGGGGGACACTGGGAGGGCACTGGGAGGGACTGGGGGGGACTGGGAGAGGAACTGGGAGGGACTGGGGGACACTGGGAGGGCACTGGGAGGGACTGGGGGGGACTGGGAGAGGAACTGGGAGGGACTGGGGGACACTGGGAGGGCACTGGGAGGGACTGGGGGGGACTGGGAGAGGAACTGGGAGGGACTGGGGGACACTGGGAGGGCACTGGGAGGGACTGGGGGGGACTGGGAGAGGAACTGGGAGGGACTGGGGGACACTGGGAGGGCACTGGGAGGGACTGGGGGGGACTGGGAGAGGAACTGGGAGGGACTGGGGGACACTGGGAGGGCACTGGGAGGGACTGGGGGGGACTGGGAGAGGAACTGGGAGGGACTGGGGGACACTGGGAGGGCACTGGGAGGGACTGGGGGGGACTGGGAGAGGAACTGGGAGGGACTGGGGGACACTGGGAGGGCACTGGGAGGGACTGGGGGGGACTGGGAGAGGAACTGGGAGGGACTGGGGGACACTGGGAGGGCACTGGGAGGGACTGGGGGGGACTGGGAGAGGAACTGGGAGGGACTGGGGGACACTGGGAGGGCACTGGGAGGGACTGGGGGGGACTGGGAGAGGAACTGGGAGGGACTGGGGGACACTGGGAGGGCACTGGGAGGGACTGGGGGGGACTGGGAGAGGAACTGGGAGGGACTGGGGGACACTGGGAGGGCACTGGGAGGGACTGGGGGGGACTGGGAGAGGAACTGGGAGGGACTGGGGGACACTGGGAGGGCACTGGGAGGGACTGGGGGGGACTGGGAGAGGAACTGGGAGGGACTGGGGGACACTGGGAGGGCACTGGGAGGGACTGGGGGGGACTGGGAGAGGAACTGGGAGGGACTGGGGGACACTGGGAGGGCACTGGGAGGGACTGGGGGGGACTGGGAGAGGAACTGGGAGGGACTGGGGGACACTGGGAGGGCACTGGGAGGGACTGGGGGGGACTGGGAGAGGAACTGGGAGGGACTGGGGGACACTGGGAGGGCACTGGGAGGGACTGGGGGGGACTGGGAGAGGAACTGGGAGGGACTGGGGGACACTGGGAGGGCACTGGGAGGGACTGGGGGGGACTGGGAGAGGAACTGGGAGGGACTGGGGGACACTGGGAGGGCACTGGGAGGGACTGGGGGGGACTGGGAGAGGAACTGGGAGGGACTGGGGGACACTGGGAGGGCACTGGGAGGGACTGGGGGGGACTGGGAGAGGAACTGGGAGGGACTGGGGGACACTGGGAGGGCACTGGGAGGGACTGGGGGGGACTGGGGAGGCCTGAGAGAGCAGTGGGTGGCACCAGGAGGGTACTGGGGACACTGGGAGGGTACTGGGGACACTGGGAGCACTGAGGGGGGGCACCAAGAGCACTGGGTGGCACCAGGAGGGTACTGGGGGGCACTGGGAGCACTGGGAGCACTGGGTGTCCCCGTGTCCCCGGTGTCCCCGGTGGCCCCGGTGGCACTGGGAGCACTGGTGGCACTGGGAGCACTGGGTGTCCCCGGTGGCCCCGGTGTCCCAGGAGGGTACTGGGGACACTGGGAGGGTACTGGGGACACTGGGAGCACTGAGGGGGGGCACCAAGAGCACTGGGTGGCACCAGGAGGGTACTGGGGGGCACTGGGAGCACTGGGAGCACTGGGTGTCCCCGTGTCCCCGGTGTCCCCGGTGGCCCCGGTGGCACTGGGAGCACTGGTGGCACTGGGAGCACTGGGTGTCCCCGGTGGCCCCGGTGTCCCCGGTGGCACTGGGAGCACTGGTGGCACTGGTGGCACTGGGTGGCCCCGGTGGCCCCGGTGGCCCCGGTGGCACTGGTGGCACTGGTGCAGTGTCCCCCCGCAGGCCCTGCGGTCCCCCCTGCGCCCGTGGCTGTCACCAGCTTCGTGGGGCCTGAGCCCCGGGACCTGCTGCCCGCCGGTACTGGGGGCACTGGGAGCACTGGGAGGGACTGGGAGGGAACTGGGAGCACTGGGAGAGTACTGGGGGGGCACTGGGAGGGCACCGGGGGGGGCATTGGGGCCACTGGGGGGGCACTGGGAGCACTGAGTGGCTATACTGGCTGTTACTGGTTGTACTGGGAATGCTGGGTGGCTATACTGGTTATACTGGGGAGCACTGGGAGCACTGGATGGCTGTACTGGGTGGCTATACTGGTCATACTGGGAGCACTGGGTGGCTGTACTGGGTGGCTATACTGGTCATACTGGGAGCACTGGATGGCTGTATTGGGTGGCTATACTGGTCATACTGGGAGCACTGGGTGGCCATACTGGCTGTTACTGGTCATACTGGTGCTACTGGGAGCGCTGGGTGGCTGTACTGGGTGGCTATACTGGTCATACTGGGAGCACTGGATGGCTGTATTGGGTGGCTATACTGGTCATACTGGGAGCACTGGGTGGCCATACTGGCTGTTACTGGTCATACTGGTGCTACTGGGAGCGCTGGGTGGCTGTACTGGGTGGCTATACTGGTCATACTGGGAGCACTGG